TGTGCTCAGATAGTACTATTAAACGATAACCATATCTCCCAACACCCCTAAGCATTAAATAAGTCTGTAGCGAGGGAGGTGGGGAAGGTGGGGTGGGTGGGGCAGGTGGGGTAGACTCAACTAGATCTGGCGGCGGTGCGGGCCCTACTACGGCGTCCCGCGTAAGGGTAGGTGAGGCCGCAGGTCGTGTTGAGAAAAGTACGGGGGTGAGTGTGAACTGTTAGCACGTTTATTTACAGAACGCAAAGACACGGCATAGCTACACCATTCTGCTGTGCATATTCATGATTTCACCGGTGATGGCTACTAACATACCCAAGCCGACTCAGGGTGTGGTTTTCGTTCCAAGAGGTCAAATATCTATTACACAAACTACGTGGGCTCTGGCGTTTACAATAGATTTTTACCGCTATTCACGAATATCTTGATGAACTTAAGAAACAGCTATCAGAAATAACGGCACTCCCTGCTGTTCCTTCTAAGCCCGCGTCATATAGTTCAGTTGATGCTTATGCATCTCAAGTTCGAGAGGCATTACAAGTACTCCTTAAAGAACACATCACGTGGTTTCAACATCGTTTCGTTTTCATGACGCAACAACTTAACGACCTTTATTCCTTACATTACATAAGGGATAAGCATGCGATTATTGCAGGGATCGGTAAACTCTCTCAATTTCTATTTGGAACAGCCACGGAGGATGTTGAAGCTTTGCAACAGCGTATATTGGCAATGGGCAATACGCAGCAAGCGATTTGAACTGCAATGGATGATTCGTTAACGGTTATGAATTATACGCGCAAAACGGCGGAGTTGAATAGTTGTAATATATCTGTGTTAATGTTACAGGCGCAGAGACTTACTACTGCTGTCAACAGCATTTTAGTTAAAATGACAGGTTGGCAAGTCAGCGGGAATTCATTACGCTAACGAAATTGTGACCGGGGTGTTGATTCCGGCTCATCACATTCGGAAAATCCTCCTATCTATTCAAGAGGCATTACCCCCACTTTAGCGTTACCTCATGATCCACACTCAGATCTATTATTTTTACCTTCGTCAAGGGGTTGGCAGAAGGTTATGTTTTCATCGGCGGGCGTTTGTTGGTTTGTGGGTTTCTTTGTGTACAGCCTAACTGAAAAAGTTATGGACGGATTGTCATAAAATTTTCAGGATAGGTCAGAAATGGGCAAACTTAGAACTGATTAGATTTTGGTGGTGATCCGGATCCAATTAATTAATTAATTAATTAATAAAATTTTCAGGATACGTACGTCAGAAATCGGGTAACTTAGAATTGATTACATTTTGGTCGTCATCCGGATCAAATTAATTATTGAATTAATTAATTAATTAGTAAAATTTTTCACAGTGACAGAATTGAGCTGCCTTGGCGGAGGTCTGTGTTCTCCGAGTGCTCTAGTATTACAATATTATCACAGTTGTGGTAATACCCGATAAATCGGGCTTGCATGTTCTGTTCGTCTTTTGTTCCATTATGATACAGAGACATGACTTTTCAAATTTATCAGATTATTAGGCCACCAGTTTACCTCCGTAATACTACCGCCGCTGCGTATTACAGTTTCACTTATAATTACCTTGAGATTTCGTTAGACCATGCTCATTACGTGCTACCCCAGAAAAATTCACTACGCGTTTGTTTGCGCAAGAGGCAGCGTGTTTGTGACAATAAGTCACCTATTATTCCTATGGGAGTAACTACGGGGTGCCCGATAGGGTTACAGCCCTATAGACCGAAGGTCCGATAGACCGAAGGCCCGATAGACCGAAGGTTTATTCAAATACGCAGTGGCTACACGTCCGGAATCGGTCGCCTAGCCTCCAGGCTACGCATCCGGACATCCACTGATGCCGTATTCGAACGTGAATATGCCGCACATCCACTATAAACCATATATATATGCCCTAACCCTAACCCTAACTCTAACCCTAACCCTTTGCAATATTTGGTCTATCGGACCTTCGGTCTATAGGGCTGCCCCCGCCCGATAGCATTATTCAGAAATCTAACAACAGAAATACAAGCATTGTGCTCCAAGCGCATTACATTTTACGCGAGAGCTACCCCTAGGGCAGATTACCTGCTTAATGGATGTTGGTTAATTTCTTCATCAACCCTTCTTACGCCATCACTACACGTGATAATATCATGTCAGTCACGACCGGCATCTCAGGTTCAGGTGCGTGAGCTTCAGATCACGCATCAACAGGTTATTACCTTCCATTCGGTACTGTCACTCGCTACGTGCATTTATTGGCGTTGTTGTAGACACGCCGCACGTTCTCGCTGGCAACGGGCCAGTACGGTATTGAGAGAACAGTATGTGCATGGTAATGCTCCGACACAGGTAGTTGCCCCGGTGTGCGTGAGCGCGACTCTGCCACCACGCGTCGCACCACAGGTGCTTGACGAGATAGTTACCACGATTAAGGGCGCCATTTATTCCGTCGCAACCCTTATACCCTACTCCGCCTAAGTCGATGCCACTAATGACATGTGTCCCCACAGATAGCAAGCATAGCAAGCATTGCGTCCAGGCATTTGAAAAGCTGTGTCGTGGTGAGTTTTCATCCAGCCCCAGGGTATCAACGTTCTTAACCGTAGTCAGCCGCTATCAGTTGTCGTTGCGTCTCCTAGCGGGCTCTGCAAATGTGCTCTCGGATTTTGCCAGTCGCAATGCGCCACTGTGTCACTGACCACCTCATGCCACCAATGGGCTTCATTGACATGTGTTCCACATACCCTTGTGCAGCAGTCTACAGGGGGATTTGCAGCTGACGTCCTCAAGCACGAGCGACAACTCATGCTTGTTGATACGAAGTTGTTATAGGGAGTGTGTGATGTCATACACAGCCACACGCCTGATTGACAGCGAGCATCACGTCCTGTTACGTGATGCACTTATTCGACTTTGGCATTGACATTATTCGAATTTAACATTGGGCTACAACCTATGGATGGACCTGTTGCCATTGTGCATACTGGTCATGCTCCGGGATTCGTGACCTGTTGAGACGCCATATGATTTGCATTGAAGTTGGTCGTGTGAAGAATGCCAACAAGAATCCGGTCGCGGAAAGGGCTGTGCAAGAGCTAGACGATGAGCTTCTGCATCAAGAGCCTGGTGGTGGTACTGTTCCGGTACTTAATCTCTCCTTAGCTGTGGTGAGGATGAATTCCCGCATTCGTAGTTGAGGTCTGTCTGCTCGAGAAATGCTGACGCAGCGTGACCAGTTCACGAATGTTCAGTTACCATTGTGAGACCATCAGCTCATAGTGGCGCAACATCAAAAGCGTTTGCAAAATCACCCTTACAGCGAAATGGCGAAGGTCCCGCTAGCAAAGCTTTCCGCCAGTCCATCAGTTGACGTAGGAGATCTGGTGTACCTATATAACGACCGTAATAAGTCACGTGCACGAGATCGCTATCTAGTTGTATCTGTTGAAGGACAGCGATGCAACGTTCAAAAATTCACAGGGTCTCAGCTTCGCAGATCGTCGTACCACGTAAAGCTGTCAGAGTGCAGCTGGTACCTTGGACGTTCGGACATCACAGATGATGAAAGCGGGCTCAGCTCGTATGCAGTTCCACCATCACCGGATCCTCCACATGTATCGGAGGTGCTGATTGGAAACGTCGATGATAGTTCTACGGATGTGACTCTGCCTACTCATCAGATTTAATTGTGCTCCCAATAGCACAGCAGACAACACGGCAGGAATAGCGGACGGTTGCGTTACTGCCATGCTGCCAAGACGTTCAACTTGTCTAAAGCGGCCTCATAAACACTTGGTGCGCTGTCATTCAGCTGAACATTCGCATTTACTAAATAGTTATTTTTCAACATTTCAGCAGAAGTGCCAAATCGCCCAGTTGCTGGGTGTCATATTTTTGGCATTTTTAGTTTTCAATATCCGAGCTTTTTTGTAGTTGGCTTAGATTCTGTCAACATCTAAGATTTTCTTTTTGACGGTAACTTTTCCTCAACTATAAACCCGCTGCTTCTGTGAGCAGATTGTTTTAATTTCAGGTACATCTGGTGAGCGCACAATTACGTGACCTAAATAAGGCTATGCGCATGCGTATTGCAATTTAGCACCTGGTCTGGCCCGCTTGTTGTTTACAGGCACACACACAAGTGGGCTATCTTATCCCGGGCTAAGTTAGCCCAGGCCTGGCCCTGCTTTATTTGCGGGGCCAACTTGGAGCAGGCAGCGTGTATTTGGAGTGGGATAGCGTGTACACACTGCAAATATTTAGATGATGATGATCTCCTGTTCATCTACCAGACAGACAGTCAGAGAAGGCTCCTTGAACTATATGGGAATGAACTGGAATTTCTCTATGCTACTTACAAAACGACACGCTACTTTCTACCGCTCTTCTTTGTTATCGTAAAAACTAACGTAGATTACCAAGTATTGCCACTTTCATTACTGAATCTGAAAGGGAAGATGCCATTCGTGAAGCTCTGAAGATATTAGCTGAGTGGAATCCAGACTGGAAGCCGGCTCATTTTATGTCCGACTTCTGTGAGGCAGAAATTCACAGTATCGAAGACGTATGATGGTACTTATGTTTACCACCAGTATTGCTTTATTTGATTAATACGCATGCATCTGTTTCATTGTATTGCTAGTTTTCGCGTGTGCACGTACACATGCGTGCGTGCATGTGTACGTTCACATAACACTTTGCTAACTATGAACTCGCTTATTCAAACCCACTGGCTCTGTAAATTTTGAATTTAATGGTCAACTAAAATTAATAAACTTCTTCATTTTGAGCATATGCGCCCGTATAGATACAATCAAAGTATATTGATATATTGAATAAATCGATTTATTACTGTCGTATACGTCTATATTTTATGTGTAGAAACTGGTTCGCAGGTCCTTGATGAGTAAAAAATAGTGATTCCACGGCCTTACAAACGCCTTAAGTTGATATTAAGCTAGAACTTGTTCATGATAAATATGTACCGTTTCCGTTTCCGCATTGCCGATTTCCGTCATGATCATTATAGATGTAGCGCGCATGCGCAGGAGTTGTTGTTGTCGTTGCTGCCGCCATGATTTATATTAAAGTCTCACTACAGCTAAACTCAAGTGTTTGTTTCTCGCTTAAAGATGTCTACGACAATCTTAGCCCCGCACTACATACATGTCAGTTCACCTTCTATTTTCAGATTGCAAGGTGTACCTTTGCGACTTTCATCGCGAACAAGCTTGGAATATGGGGCTCAAGAAAACAGATCATAATCCCTTTAATGACCGAGAGGAGGTTTTATGCAGACTCAGACGTATTGCCAGACCACAATCTGAGTCCGAGTACAAAAATGCAGTGGACGATCTAAAGGCTAGTCCAGTGTGGCAAAACAGTAAACTGCGTAAATGGATAGAAAACACTTGGCTACCTGAGTATAAAGTAAGTATACAACATTTTATGACTGCCAATTCTCAATTTATGTGTATGAATTAAAAACCTTTCTTGGTAGTATGCATCTAGGAAAAGAGTATAATTAACTGATTAATCCATTATTGTATTATGGATAATTTCATTAACTGCTTTCAAGCGAATGATCTTCATCAGGGATGATGCAGTCATGTGAATATGCACTTGGGAGCAGGGGCAATTGGACTTATGTACGTTATATCCATACAAACGGTGGTGCCGGAAATGGTCATTATACACGGTTGCCAATTCTTCTAAGCGATTCTTTTAACGTTCATGTATGTGTGTCTAGCATAATGACAATAACCAGTAATAAGCTTCCTCTTGTAGCCTTTTAATACATATTTGAACAATTTCGTTTTAGAGATGGGTGTGGGCGTATCGAGGTGACCGTCTTCTTATCAGTGGCCATACCAATAATGGCATTGAACGTCAGAATGGCGTTTTTAAACACGAGTACCTCCAAACGCATTCGAGGCGTACCCTCAGTGGAATGGTGGAAGTCTTGGTAAAAGAATTTCTACCTGACCAGTACCAAGGGTAAATAATGCATTTACAATGCTTTTCTAATATTCTTTCATGATTTTTCATACCCAATAGATATTTAAAGTTTTAAGTTAGGTTTTCCATAAAAGGCTTGAAAAGGGAGTTTTAAATGATGATTTGTACCACTAAAATAAATTTATTAAAATAAGTGAGGTTCATTGACATAAATTTATTTTGCCCTTTGTAATTATTTCTTGAATCACTTCTTTCAGATATGTTTATGCAAACAGGAGAGCATCATCTACACGCAGAAAGTACAATGTTAATGTTCCGGTATACCTGCGAAATCGTCCTGCCTTCCTAATCAGGCATTGCTTGGAAATGTTACAGCTTGCTGAACAGACATCCTGATTTGATTGCATGTGATTTCCTTTACAATTTGTAAATTTTTTATTTCTTCATAATCACGTGCTGCTATGTAAAACATCAGAATATATCACACACTTGTCTATATTACTTGCATATCACCTGTATAACAGTTGTTCTGCTTTCTGATGATACTCGACATATCATTACAAATATAGTGGATTTGGATGGCTGTGAACCGAGTATTTCTCCCACTAACTACGTGGTATGAATTTTCTATAGAAATAATATCCTTACTCGACTAGCTACACTGGCCATATGTATTCATATTGTCTGCACGTATTTGGGAAAGAAATTATCATTTGAAAGTGTGAAAACATTTCTAATAGCCAGATGATCATATTGCTAATTGTTGTTACCATGGGTAATTTTAAATTGACACTTCACAGTCAATACAGATTATTCCACCTACCGATATTGAATTGATTGTCATTGAGAATGACAACTCAAGTTTTGTCTACCAGTTCAATAACTAGGTGAAATCTTAATGCACATCACTATGACAAAAATTGAAACTTATAAGATTGTACCTGCATACATATTTGTATCCCCCACGACGAAGTCGGCGGGTATACTATGGTTTCATGTCTCCCCAGCCGCCGCCGCCGCTCGGTCCGCCGCAGAGAATTTCCCTTCCACTCTATAACTCGACCCCTAATTGACCTAGCGTGACCAAACTTGGTATACTTACACATATTGGGGAGAAGGTGTGCAGAGTACCAAAACCAGGTTACTGCGACCTTTATTTGACCTTTACCTTGACCTTGATCATATTTCGCTTCCGCTCTCTAACTCGGCCCCTAATTGACCTAGCGCTACGAAACTTGGTATACTTATACATCATGGGGAGAATTAGCCCGACCAGGCTGTGCGACGGATTGTCTATACAGCCTGACACCCTTCCATACAAAAAACCTATCACCTCTGTAGATCTACATGAATAACTCTGTATATCTCACATATAACTATTCTATTACCACCTTTGACTTGCCTCGTTTGAAATATGAACGTTAACTCGCAGTTGTCGTGCTTTTAAACTAGAATGTATCTCTTAATTCGCGGTATAATCTTCAAATTCTCACAGCTCAAACTTTCATCACAAATATTCAACCGCCATGTTTTACAATGCGCATGCTCAACAATTGAGGCACTGAAAACCCGCAACGGAACCACACAGAACGATAATGAAATAAATTCTGACTAGCGTACGCAATACTTAATGACTAGCGTACAACATAAGTACAACATAAGTACGCAACTTCAACGTATTACAATTAATCTATATAAACAAACATAAATGTTGTAATATAGTGGTGATGGTAATAAGTGCAACATAAGTACACAACTTCAACGTAATACAATTAATTAATCAATACACAATAGCCGCGCGATGGCGCTCATGGAAATCCACGTTCGCGCGCAAAATCAATTTCCACGTTTGCGCGCAAATTCAATTTCTGATACGGCATTCGTTTATTCAACCATTCAACCGGCTGTGCTTACAAAGAGAGAGATTCTTAATTTCATCACCTGTGTCTGCATGTCATCTTGCACAATTTTATTCGGTGATTATTTGCATTTTGTGTCTATCTACGACTACGTATGCCTACGTATCTAAAATCTACGTTTTACACCGATGGCAACGTGTGTCGTTTGTGACTCTATTTTTGAAAAAAAAACCGAGGATTTAAAAGAGTCTCTGTGTTGTCTGTAACAACCCCTCGTACTTTCGAAAAAGTTTTTCAAACTTTTTGCCAGGAAATTTCGTTTGTACTGCTTGCCACGCAAAGCTTCTACGTGTTGCAAAACACAAAACAAAGACAGGAAAAAGAACTTGGCGGGATAGAGACTCTTTCGTGGCTACTCCCACAAAAGATAAACAGCCAGACGACAGTCTAATCACTCCGACGCGACCTTCCAAACGGCAAGCAAATTCATCAACACCTCAATCAAGATCACCACCGGTATTTCAACCTCCATCGCCAATAGTGTCACCACCCTCATCCTCAAATACAGCATCCCATAGCAACGACACCGGATTTTCGAGCACGAAAGACTCGGAGAAATCGTATGTAGAACAGGCAGCGTGGTATTTTTCTTCCAGCGTGGTAGATCTTCCACTACAGAGATGGCTTCGCCACCTTAGTAAACCATTCAACAGCAGCAAAGAAGGCGCTGATAGAAGTTGCTTGCCGACTCATAAAGAAAGAGGTACGCTTTACGTTGACACCGTGGTTATTCGTCCGACACCAGATCCCTAACTCTAGTGGCTATTTTTCTGATGAAGTCTAGATAAACTGTATACATGGATTGCTACTTTACGTTATATAATCATGACCTCATAGACCTTCATACGTTATTCAGTTCCAGACCATCCAAAGGGAGAATGGTTTGCTGTTCAGCAAGAATGCTGGAGCAGAAACTCTGTCGAATTTCTCATGGTCCTCCGCTATTGGCGAGGTCAGGGAATGCATGCCTACTACTGTTGCATGCTTCCACGCCACCTTGCCATTGGCAAAGCAAGTGAGGATGCGGGTGTCTAAAGGTCGGAAAGGCAACAAAAGGTTAATCCTATTCATATGCTGTAAATGTAATATATATTGCTAATTGTTAATCTGTTATTACTCAAAAAGATTCGAAACGAATCGCAGTATTGCCATTCCCATATACCTGTTGTATATGCACAAGGCCCCAACCATGCTTTTCAAACACCCCGTCTCTCTATCATACCATGGGAATATATCTATAATGTGCTTTGGGGCATGCATAACCACGTCTTACTGTTTCGTACTCATTCAGATTTCATTGGGAGTTTCTATTTCATTAATTTTACTAATACCTATATACATGAAATGTTGATAACATAACAACATATGCTCTTACTTGCAGAAACATGCGTCCCGATGAGGTACAGTCTCTATTGGACAGGAATATAGGGCAAATGCTTGCTATTGCTCTTTTCCACAAATGCCCGCGGAAATTCAACTTCGTCCAACAGAGTGTTGCTATTGAAATGTGGCGTCAAGGAGCACCACACAAGGTGTTCCTCACGCTCAACCACATGGGGATATCACTGGGAGTTGGAGCAGCAAGGAGTCATGTTGACCGCATAGGGAAAGAGCATGACAAAGAACTGTTACTGTGGAAGAGCAGTTTGGAGGTAATAAACAACAGTGTCGATAAACAATTGCTTAAACATATATGCACAGGTGTATTCAAATTACATGCAGATACCTTTTTCATTAACCTTTCAAGCAACATATTCACTATTTGATATACTTAAAATTGCCATGTATTTATGAATTAATGTCATTGCTAATGTTTATGGTCTATATCACACGTTTTCTTCTATTACAGGTTGTACCAACTGAAGGCTGTAGCCGCAAGCTCAGCTACCATCAAGCAGACACCTACAGCTTCTGCTTTGATAACGTTCAGGTTGGTACCGAGGCTAAACACCAACATGCCGAAAACAACAACTCCTTCCTGCTTATGACCATGTGCTTTGCTGTCAGAGACCGTGTGTCCTCCCCAATAGCACCATCGCCGTCTGTACCGTTAGAGGCCAGTGACCTGGACCCATACACATTTTTGCCATCTCCTGCTGTGTATGAGCGAAAACGTGCACTCGTGGTGTTCGTGGTGTTACACATCCTGGCTGAGCATCTTGACCAGTTGCAACACCTGGAGAAAAGGCTGCAGCCCCGCATACAGCACAAGTACACAAAAGAAATGCAAGAACGATCTCAGTTCGTAAGTGTATGCTGTATTTTGTATTAAACGATGAATTTATTACCTAATATTTAGGTTTTTCTAAACATTTTCAGCTTCATATTACGTTACATTTCCATACATGGTAAGGGTGTACTGTTCTATTTGCAGGTTAGCATAGGAGTGGTTGATGCTAACCCTGTTACTGGCACAACATCGGGCATGATTGCGGTCATGGAGCATCTTCAGCAGTACGTAGCTGTATCAGACAACAAGCCTGTTGAGAACTTGGTGAGTGGAGATGGCCTGTCCGTTGAAAGAATCATCCATGCTCAGCACGCAAGGAGCAATGGCGAGGAATGGCATCATCGACTAGACTCCATATGTGGCCGGCACCTCAGGAGTTTCACAAAGAAATTCTGCTTCTTCAGGCGAGTTAGCTATTTTAAATAATATATTTATGTTTACAAACATGTTACGTTTCACAAGCAATGTAAAGTCTGTACTGGTCATTGACCGCATTGATACATAATCTGGGAAAGAAGAGGCTCTGTTCTCAGATGTAATCTTATGTGACACATGAAAAACAATTAAGTAAAGAATTCTTCATACAAAACATTATTTTAATAAATCGCTGTTAAACATTCTATAATAGCCATTGTCACTTAACATAAACAATGGATTTAACAATGTAATAGTAAATGCTTTTGTCATGTCTGAACCTCCTCACAAGTTCTTGAAATCAACTAACCATGTGGTTGTGATAATGACGGTTGTGGCATAGTAATAGTGTATAAAACTTGGTGGTATTTGCAATTTAAGGATTTAAATAATACGTTCTTTCGTGGAGGAAGTATCGCCGACAGAGGAACGGTTGCACAGTTGAAGTGTGACTTCAACCACCGATCATTTCGAAAAGAAGTGATGTCGAACTTCCAACATGTTTGGGACATGTACCACGTGAGTCAAACAGCTGGTTTATTAAAAATGCTAACATAAACAATAAAATAGCAGCAACAGGATTTCCATGTTTGAAACACATAAAAAATACTAGCTGAGTCTTGTTAATTAATAAGGATGCCAGTGCTACAGTTGCGTTATAATTATTTCTTGCTAGTTCACTACAGACGCTCATGTCTTGCTCTGTGCGATGAAGTTGCGGGGGATGACAACCATGAAAGACATTCCTGATGGTTTCCCCACGAATGGAACCAGGAAAGCGCAGATGACTTGGCTCCATCAACTGGCGCAGGAGGTAGTTGAATTCTGCTGGGAGCCTAGTGACAACGAAAGCATCAGGATTGCTGCCAAGGCATATGTTGAGGATCATTTAGATGATTCTAATGGAGACGTAACATTTTGCAGTTGTCACACAGGTATGCAGTTTCCTAATACTCGGTTAAAAGCATATCATTTATAATAGGGGAGGCTATAACATGTACCAGGTTAAGATAGATGATGAAGTATTTTACTATTTTCATTATTTACAGAAAAGGATGAGGAGGAAATGCTACTGTGCTGTAGCTTGACCTGCAACATTGGCTGGTTCCACTTGAGCTGTGTTGGGCTAGATCTGGCTCCGGATGCAGAAACAGACTGGTACTGCAGCACGGAATGTGCTAGCAGTGACAGCTACATTTACTGCATATGCCATCGCAAACAGGATTCCACCATGATTCAGTGCTCGCTCGGGGAAAACTGTAGGGGCTCGGAGTGGTTTCACAAGTGTTGCAAAGGGATTAAGCCTCAGGAACCTCTCTACCTGGTAAACATATCCTGCTGTTTTTTGGTGTTGAAAAAGTTAGCTCCTTATGAGCGATGCAATACAGCGCAAGGCTCAACGTCATGGTGCCACTTTTACACATGACGCATTTTACAGATACCTGGTACTGTAGTGAAGCATGCAGTCTAGGAGCAGAACGAGACGACTATGTGCTGAACCATACCAAGGCTCTAATGTGGGAAGGGCTGTCACACATGTCACGAAGGATGGCGGTGCGAGAGGGTGACGGCGCAGCAATGGTCGACGACTGGAAAATGGACTTGTTGCAGTTCTGGTCTAGGAAGCATCCTAAATATTTCATCATTGCTCACTCTTTCCTGGCCTGTAAGTAAGCAATGATAAGACAACATTTATTAAAATCCATTATAATTATTTGTTATAACGTTTCAAAGTATACAACATATCCATAATTTCCAACTGGTACTGTCGTAACAAGGTTCTTGGTCAACAAAATTCCATGGTCTTTCCTTTGTTCATTTACAGGTGTTGGGGGATTTGCTCCACACAGAATGCAACACAACTACATTTGGAATAGAGTGGCCAACCCGAAAGGGAAGCCTAGTGGGAACATTGGACTCGATCTGAGCAACGAACATATCAATCGAGACTTTAAAGGTATGAACAGTTTATACTCACTTTGCACTGCTCTTCAGATGTAGTGTGTCTGCTTTGTCGAAGCACCATGGATGGCTTTAAGCATTATATTGTGATGATACAAAATATTAATCATTCAATTAACACGAAGGAAGGTATTAAACAACTAAGAAGTTGCGAAACTAGACAACTGTGCAACTGAAATAATAAACCATGTATAATGAACAATACTAGCTATGATAATCATACATTTCATAGCGTTTCACAATTATTGATGCTTAATGATATTTCTGTTAACAGAAATGCTGCGACACTCTCATGGCAATTACACGCCTAAGCAAGTGCAACGATGTTCCCAAATGTCTGGGCCATATGGGAAAACATTAGATGACCTGTTCTCAGAAGTAGGGTTGGTCGACATGAGGACCGCAGATCGAAGTAGCAGGACCAGTGTGTATGGAGAAGATATCCGCAGGTGTGTGACCGAGTACTTCAATGATGCCCTCTGTGACTACATACCAGGCCGGGAACACGAGGCATTCCAAAACTTTGACATGCGTCGTGGCATATCATCGCCCATGAAGCTTGGGCAAAAGCTGAAGAGCTTCTCTGCACGGATGGATTCCTGGAGAAAGATAACGCAATATCACACTGTCAGGAAAACAGGTGATGTGTAATGCATTTCCACAGCTCTTAGCCTCGATAGGACTATTGCACACAATCCACTTACTATTTCTTCTCCTTGTTGCATACGGAGCAACAGGAAGGGATGGCCGAACAGTGCTCCAGTGATTTTACGTTCATGCCTGGTAGGAACAAAAACTGTAATATGGACTTTCGGATGCATTGCTCTCCAGTTTGCGCAGACAATAAAAAATTGCGCATTGGTTCGTCCACGCGTCTCTTATCAATCGACCCAGGATAAATATAGAGGATGGCCTTGCCTACCCTACCATCTCGCGCACATCGCCCTACCTCCTGCCAGTAACTCATGATATCACCGGATGGTCCCCAATGGAGGACGTAATCAACATTTGAAATGTTGATTCCGAGGCCAAATGCGATGGTAGCAACAACACAACGAATGCTGGAGGTGGTGTCTGCAATGGTACTCGCGATCCGTCTCTGGCTGTCGACATCGGTTGCAGCATGATACATCTCTACTGTCCGGTTGTGCACTTCGGCAGGTGTATCGATGGCAAACGCAGAGGAGCCCAGCTCACGCATCAACCAGTGATATATTTCACCGACCTGGTCCACCTGCCTATAAGCAGACATGTGTTTCAGTATTCATTGTTCAATAACTGTCAAAAGTGCCATCGAGAACGTTGCATATGTTACCGATGTTTCATTGGAATTTATTGCTAAGCGTTTTGTTTGCACCAATGTCAAGCAAATACTGTTTTGGATAAAATGCTTTGAGTAGTAAGCTATGTTATTGACATGTGTATATGTCTGAAGTACTGATATAACTGAATGTTGTTATGAATAATTGAGGTAAATTTAAGCAAACCTTGCGTATATAATTGCTTTGGGGGCTGAGTCAACTTTACTTTTCAGCTCTGCCAGGTACCATCCCAGCGTATCTTCAAAACTCTTGATGTTGACAGTTTTCACTTCTAAGTGAATGTTAGGTCTGTAAGTAGAGGTAGTATATAAACGTTTGTTGAGCTGTCACCTATCCTGAAGTTGGAAAAACATTAATTGCTCCTTGCATAATTGTTTTAAGATAACTATTACATAACTAGCTGGTGTACCTGTCAGGTAGTAGTGTGACGTAAACCACAGCATCTTGTTTTAAATGCATATGACCGATTATCTGCTCTACCATCACAGGAGTTGCTGTTGCTGTTAGCATCATCACTGGTGTCTTTGGTAGCCGACTCCCGAGTTCCGTGATGGAAAGGTAATGATCTCGGAACGTCTCTCCCCTATTGGAGAGCAGTTTCACATGACTGGTTAGATCAACATAACACAGACAATTTTGTGTTCTACTCTGAAAGTTGTGTTTGCTGCATTAGCAAAATATTGGATATGACTAAGATATGTAAATGTTACGTGTTTATAACAGTTCTCAAGATACCAGTAGAAAGTGAAGGAAGTAATATGGTTTGGTAAATCGGAACTCACCATTTCGTTAGACAATGTGCCTCGTCAATGCACAAAAGAGCAATCTTTTTCCGGTTGAGGCGCACCCACTCCCACCATGTCGGTGACATGATGGCTTCTGGTGACGAGAACACAAGGGTGAAAAGCCCTTTATGTAGATCTGTAGGAAATTGAGATTTAGTCGTCTGCTGTTATTCGATTACACAATGATTTTATAATGAGCAAAACTGGTCTGCAATTATGATCGATTTAACAAAATCTGTTACCTGCCACAGTTTCCTTGTCCATATCTTTCTTGTGTAATATGGCTGCACACTTGATGCTCCGAGTAAGTTGTGTCTTATCCTAGAGGCGGAAATGGACAATGTAGGGGAATAGGACTCGTCTGATCATTCATTGAGAAATGTTTGTCCTGATGATTGTGGAGTAATTGTGATTTGTTAGATCCCAATTAAGGGGCCGGTATATAATGGCCAAACATTGCATTACATATGGACTAAGGGAGATAACTATTGTTTAATATTGACTTTTGTTTCTTGCGGCTGAAGTGAGGGCGGGAAGCAGACGTATTGAATTTCGATAACATCTGTAAACCTTTCGTTGTCACGATATTTCTCCTTTAGGATACTAATGGTCAAACAATTCGGTAAGAAAATATTATAGTAAGATGCACCAATATATCTATATTTCATAGCCACAGTGTATGAGGAATGACATCCCCGGTAGCGGCCGTTGTTAGGTTATGTCCAGTGAATTCGAGAATTCTGTTTGCACGAATGAGCATGGTCGTGCACTGCATAGCACTTCCAGTAGGGTCGGTGTCACAATTTCCTATCGATGATTAATTGTTTGTTTACTCTTAGATATGATACCTAGGGAAAACTTTGATTGAGGATCTTTGGTTTTGATGGACATTTAGTACGTGTAATTAGGAGCTTATAATGAGGTCAGAGTAGAAATACGATGACTTTGTGAACTTTTGGGCCAATCCCTGTAATCAGGTAGTGATTACATGATATGAACAATGATTTGAAAAGAGTGATTAATGTATGGATATATTCCGTCGTAGATATAATTAACAGTTATTTGCTCATAGTTTTTAGTAGAATCAACAAGTTATTAGTCAAGATTGGAGAAGATTAGTCGATTTTATTGGACACTAGTGACTCTGGGCATATCGTCGTGTTGGTAATTTGTACTGTTGTAAAAGAGTATTCATGCATGTACTCACAGGCGCGCATGCTTGTAACTTACTTATGACGATATGTACATTGATTGTATAACGTTGACCCTAGTACTAAAAGTTGTATTTTGTATGCATTGCAGTTTATCCTACGTATTGGCGTATATTACAAGAAATAAAGAACGTCGACATACATGAACCTAGAAAGTGACATTTATTGTTGATTATTCGGCGTACGTTTAAGATCCATGAGAAGAACATATCCATGAGAGTCATTACAGTAACCTTAAATTTAGAATTATACTACAACACTATAAATATGTACATGTTCATGATCTTCAGGTTCTGTACTGGTACTGGCCAACAAATGACATTTCTGCACACGTAAAGAGAGCGGAGTGGCCAGATAAGTTGGATTGAACTGGGCACCAGATCAGAGTGTTTTCATACACAGGTAAAATACCTTATTTAACATTGTATTTGTATACATAACATTTGTGTATACCATCTATGGCCAAGGCCTTATTTCGAGAAACTTTTTGTTGAACAATCATGTCTTTCTTTCACATGCTAGATGATACAATTAACATACGTCTTTTTTGTAGAAATGCTATGGAAAAGCCCTGAGACATGCTAAGCTGGCAGAGCAGAGGTCGAATTCGAATCTGATGAGGAGGAGCCATACTCGAGAAAAACAAAAATGCCAAGTCACCACAAGTTTTCAGAGTGAACCTGGTGATGGTGTGTTTTCATAAAGGCCAAGACACACGTACTGCAGCGACAGCAACCGACCGTAATGACAAACGACTTTTCCAAAAATTAGAAACTATTGTTTCCTATGAGCCATTGCACACACACGCGACAACGACCGGCGACAACCTCGACGACAACAATATTTAGAAACGTTTCTATCTCCAGCGACACTGTACAAATAGCCAATCGCAGACGTTTCCATCGGCACGTGAAATAATGATTACGTCATAAATAACCCATAATGCTAGCCAGGACGTAGACTGGTCTCCGGCGCTAAACTCGTGCCACATGTCACAAACAATGGGGCCGCGAAACCAGTCTAACCAAAGCGTGCAAGCTGTGGCGTGTATTTTACTTTATTATCTTATCCTTATACCTAGTGTTTTTGCAGCCTGTTATTTAAAAAGAGCAGCACGAGTTTTTGCCGTTTGTTCATGTGATGTGTACCACTGTGGCGCATGTGCTGTATGGGTGAACTTTGACCTAACGTCGGTCGCGGTCGCTGCAGTGTGTTTGCGCCAGTCGCCGCGACTTTGTCGTTTGTAATTACGGTCGGTCGCTGTCGCTGCAGTGTGTCTTGACCTTAAAGCATACAATTGCTTATGTATTTTTGACCTCTTAAACTCTACAGATGTGTGTCCATGGGGATTATCAATTAGGTGGTTTGCTAATCTGTCCTAATATTGTGCAAGCCATAGGTTTCACCGTTAACGTATAAATAACGTTCAACCGTAAACCCCGGGACCGGGAGGCAGATTTTGCGCACGAAAACTATTCGGATTAAATACCAGATAAGTAATGTGCCTTTATTGTATATAGTAATGTAAAATAAAAACTGTCACACTATTAATTGTTAGTGTTCCTTTTTAAATTTTTAAACTCTATCAGTTGTGTAACATATTTGAAATATATATTAACTTAGTTTTTATGGGAAAAAATTACAAACTAAAAGTATGTATTTCATGCGCTTACAGATCGCATTGTCAATTTAAACGAATGTAAAATTCTCTGATGTTCCCGAGAAATAACGTACATGTTACCATTATTTCCTACTTTGAATTTGCATTTAATATTCATTTGAACGTGTACAGGTGTGTGGTTGCAGGAATGTTACATTACAACGTTGTATCAAAACGTTGTGGCAACGTTCAGGGGAGTCTACAAAATAACGTTGCCACATCGTTGTATCCCAACGTGTTCACAACGTAAGTGAAACGTTGTGACAACGTTGCCACGACGTTATATGGTTAGTGGGGGTGGCACTATTTTGAGGAAAAAAATTGTGCAGGGAACCAAGGAGCTACATATAGCAAGGAGATGAAACGACACATGCGTGGCTCTCTTCTCTAGAAACAGAACTGCTTATGTTGAGCAGGAGTCAAATGCCAGTAGATATCAAATGTGCAAAGTAGTTCTTGGTGTGGTACATCTCCAATTCACTTCTGTACCATGAAACCGGAAAAATTCTCAGATTGCTCTTAATATTGCCGGCCACACATGCAGTCAGTCAAAGGTCCTTCAGTGCTTTGCGTAGGGTGAAATCCTTTCTCAGGGCAAGCATGACGCAGTTAAGGCTCAATAATACAATGAAATGAATGAATGTGCACCGAGATATGTTAGACAATATAGATGAACAGGATGTAATTTCAGAATTTGTAAGTTGCCATCCAGACAGAAACGATAAAATTGGAATAAAAACAAAATAAAATGACAAGTTATCTGACTGGTATTAATATTAATACTAATCAATTAGAGGTGTTACATCAGTGCTCTACGATTTGGAATGTGTATTTAATATGACAATGTGCCTACATTGTGGGTATTGTGATTTAAATTCAAACTTCAAAACAAACAGATGTACATAGTTAAAGTATAAATGCAGATTGAAAATATGCTTATTTTTCACAATAATGTTGTGATAGTCTATACAATTTTGTAAACAATGTTTTATTAGTTATTATACTCATCTAATCTATATTTCAGTTCGTATGCATGTATGCATGTATGCATGTATGCATGTATGCATGCATGCATGCATGCATGCATGTATGTATGTATGTATGCATGTATGTATGTATGTATGTATGTATGTAGGTATGTCCCCTATGCCCGGCCAAACCGCCCAAGCGATCTGGATGCCATTTTCAGAGGGCGATTTCCTATACCCGTGGAGTGTTCCTAGAGGAAAAAAATCGCCCTCTAAAAATTAAGATGCGTAACAAGTGAGTAAAGATTTTAGAATTAAAAATTTTCCCACTCCAGCCCAGTAGGAAACTATATCATGTCAGCTACATGTCGTGCGGTTTGGCCGGGCATAGGGGACATACATACATACATACAAGAGCGTACCTATAAAAGAGAGCGTACAACGGTGAAATGCTGAAACCATGTTGCAGTATTAGTCGAATTTAAGAAAATAAACTTTCCCCATTTTATTTTGACGATTGTTAGTATTATTGATCAGCTGTCCTACCTTGTTAAAACAAGTGCCGCGGAGCGACAGCGCTCATCTAACGTCTACTGCGGTGACTCTGTGGTGGAGTGGTGGGATTCTAGTAAACCCTGTTAGTCCCAAATGTGTTCACATACACGCCGAAACGATGGAATGCTTTTCACTCCTCACATGGAACAACGTTACACTTGGATATGCACTACAACAGCGTGGCATGATATATCGATGGATGCAAGATCGATGGCTATGTATGAATGCGAAACTATATGCTCTATGCTCTATGCACAGGGCTATGCTATATGCACTCTGCTCTGCTATATATACATGCTCGAACTATTACGTCATCATCGGAAACATCAGACCATCGGGGGTACTAAGATGCATACGGCTGCTGCTGCTCTGGCAGCACATACGGCTGCTACTGCTGACGCCACGGCGGCGGGGCTTTTCCAGATAACATCTAGTGGAAATTCATCACAAACATCAATCAACGGGCTTACCCAATCAACGTCGGGGGTACTAAGATGGCTACGGTAATTTGAACCGGTACGATTACTGGTACGGACCTCAACTCGGCCAAGTATCTTTCGCTACACTAAACTTATAGTTAGTGCAGCGTGTGGAACTCTCCACCGCGCCGCAGTCTAAGCTCAATCGCCGACCCTTGTGTGGAAAAAACCTTGAAAATGCCTCGTAAAGAACCTCATCGCGCCATCTATGGGACGGCATATGTACGAGAATAATTTAACGGCGTAAAACGGAAGAAATGCAAACTCGCTTTTCTAGAGGAAAAGCAAACGCGCCGACCAGCAAAGGAGCAATTACGAGCATTTGTATTTATTCTCGCCCTACGTGCATACTTGAAAGGCTTCTGGAATCGCCACAACTCCTCAATTCACCGATTATAGCGCTTTATCCTATACCCGAAGGGCACTGTCGAAAAATTCTTTTAAACAGGACAGCGAATCCGATAAAAAGTGCCGCTCCGCGGCGCTGTTCGCGCTTCGCGCGGATATCCGGCTGCAGATCGTCGAGGACTACTGTGAAACGTACTCACCTGTCTACAAATGACATCGTATCTCTAGGCAGCCCGTTGGTATAGGGTTGTAGTGAACAGATAACGCTGCACGGTTATGCAATTTTGACAGTGACGTCATACCAACCTCTGTGGTGAAATGTGCTGTGTTTCGCTGAAATTTTTACCTGTCGACGCACTCGTTCACTTCCGACAGCTAGTGAAAATGGAAGAAATTTTCCTCTTCGATGCGAAATGCATTGGCCGGGCATTTCATTATTTACGAAAAGTAAAAAGGTTAGCGAAAAACAGTAGGTACAGGACCTGGTCACATCGGTGACGCCCCATTCATGTCCATCAACGAAGAAGGCGGGGCTTATTGTCATTACGGAGATGCCAAAATGCAACATAAGGACGTAGCGCAGTGCGCTAAATGGCGTGTTATTTTCGTTTTTGTGCCAAACTCTATCGTCGGAAACCGTTCTAGTCTAGCAGAATGCCCTAGTTCCCGAGATCGGCGATTTGGTACTGTGATGGGTCCCCACCTATAAAAATTTCAAAGGGAGGTGCGGCGTACGCTGTGACTAGAGGACACAAAGTGTCAATCCTCGGTTCGCCTCGGCATCATGGCCGCATCACGTCCAGCGTAAAGGGCGGGTCATCACCATGGTGATAAATAACAAGACGTTTTTGTGGAGTAATGGCTGCGTCAATGACTGGAAATGCGAGAAAAGATAGTCAATAAATGATGGCAACACGTGAGGTTTTCCGAAGCTATCGCCAGACCGAGAGACAGTCGCAGCCACTACGTATCTCGAGTCGGTTTTCGGCAAAAATACCAGATCTTCACCGCTCATTATCTCAGCGTAGAGGCATCGTAGGGACAAGTGGTTTGTTTTATATTAGCAAGTCTAATTAGCGTGGCTTCAATGCACCGGTCACCAATGAAGTTGCTGTCATCATCGCAGGGCAGGAGCACGGTTATCGTGACATTGTCCTCCACCAACGTGATGCCACCATCAAAAAAATACCAGACACACACCGTTCATATGATGCCCTTCAATATCCTCTCATTTGTGTCCGCGGGGACGATGGCTACCACTTTGGCATCAAACACGTCGACCCCATTACCAGGTGTCAGGCACTCAACAAAACAGTTTCGTCTACGGATTTTTATGCCTACCCGTTTATGGTCCGAGATGGTACCTTCAATACGATCCTTCGCTGCCAGGCCCTCTTCCACCAGTTCGCCATAGATATGTTTGCAAAAGTCGAGTCGGAGAGACTGCTCTACATTAGGACACATCAGCGCGAACTACGGTGCAAACAGTACGTTCATCTGAGGGATTGCATTAATAACGATGCTGGTGGTGCACATATTGGCCTATACACATGCATCCTTCCGTCAAGCTTCACGGGAGGCCCATGATACATGTACGAGCGTGTTCAAGATGCCATGACATATTTCCGCTGCTATGGCACTCCGGATTTATTCATCACCTTTACATGCAACACAAACTTCCCAGAGCTGAAGGAAAGTCTGTTTGATGGCCAGGTGACCAGTGACCACCATGACTTAATCACCAGGGGTTTTAACCAAAAAGTCAATAAGTTTATGCATATCATCAAAAAAAGGGACAACTATTTGGCAAAGTCAGGTGCGACATGTTTACCGTCGAATGGCAGAAGAGGGGGTTACCACATGTCCACATTCTCATCTGGCTATGTGACAAAATACATTCGAACCCGCTGGACTCTTTCATCTCAGCAGTACTACCACATCCAACCGATGACCCACAGCTGCACACCACCATCAAAAGCCACGTGATTCATGGACCATGTGGTGCACTGAATCGGAACGCTCCCTGCATGAAAGACGGCAAATGCACAAAGAAGTATCCCCGCAACATGATCAGCGAGACACAGACCGCAGGCGCGCAGGAGCGGCGAGCGATTTCCCTCCCGTCAGCTTTCAAAGCGCTCTGGTAACAACAATTACGAGAGCAAAAATGTGTTTTTATGATCGCATAACAATAAGTTTTTATATCGCAGGGGTTACCGTGGGGAGTGAGGGCACGAGCAGTGACACGTGACACGCACGTAATCAAAGCTGTTAACTGAATTCGTCACTTTTCTTAACGTAGAAAGTAGACTGTTTTTATTCAGTTAGATATCTAGAAGAAATGTGAACTGTATATACTTAAAGATTCTAGGCACTTGTAACTTTGCGGATGTGCGCCAGCATTGAAGGATCTATGCATGGGGGTACCGTGGACTGGGGAGGAAAAAAACGAAAGTAAAACCTTTCCCAGAAGCTCCCCCGACATTCCTAGAGATTGAAACATTATTTGACCAACTCTAATTAAGTTACATGTATGCTGTTTTAATGCCAATGGTTATCTTTATATACTATTTTGTTACTAACTGCAAGTAAATAAGCGGACCACCACATTTTGTGCAGGTCCAGCAACTTTCTGAAGTTGGTGGTCCTGCTGTCCACTAGATTTTCAGCCGAAATTCTAAACCTGCAGTGCCGTGCTCGACAAACCCGCTTGCCCGATGGCCCGGGGCAACCAAAATTCGCCCCCGGGCAAATAGCTTGAAATTGCATTTGCCTGTTCGGGCAAGCAAGTTTTTTTATTGAATGGCTAGACATAATGAGATTTTTCTGTTTCCACCCATCCCTTGCATTGTTTTGTACAGACATAAGCTGCCTTGCTGCGACGAGATTTGAATGAAAAAAACGATGCGAATGAGACAATCAGTGTATGCAGTCATACTTTGTACACAACATGCATGCAGCAACATGTAAACCCGGCCTCCGTGATTTTGTCACCCTTATGAATGATTGTTGCCCTCGTCGATTTCGCCAAAGCATAATCTTGACTTTCGTTTGGAAAACACCTTTACGATAAGTAGACACAATTTTGGCTTCTGAGACATTATTAGAGTCAGTGCATCAAAATGATGAAAATTATAACAAAATCATGCTATGAAAAAGTAGCTCTGGCCAAGCTTAAAATAGCTCCCATAAAAAAAATTACGAGAGCTCTTTTTTTCATACAAAATCAAAAAAGAGCTCTCGTAAAAAAAGAGCTCTCGTAATTTTTTTTACGGGAGCTATTTTCTCGTTAGAAATTTTTAGGCTGCCCTGTACTGCACACGAAAGCCGGCTGAGGGAGGTCTCACTGCTATGGTCAGGTTAGGTCGACAGGAGGTTGAGGTTGACAAGAGATGGGTCGTCCGCTACTGTCCGTTGCTTTCGAATGTGTTGAACGCTCACATCAATGTGGAGTTCTGTAACTCGATCAAGTCCATCAAGTACATCTGCAAGTATGTAAATTAAGGCTCTGATGCTGCTATGTTTGGCATCCAGCCAAACAACCGGGATGAAGTCAGCCAATACGAAATGGGACGATACATCAGCAGCAATGAGGCAGTTTGGCGGATTCTTGTCTTTCCCATCCACGAGCGCCACCCAGCCGTCCAACAACTTGCTGTCCATCTGGAAAACGGCCAGCGAGTATACTTCACGCCTGCCACAGCACAGCAACAAGCCGAGTTTCCAAAGGATACCGCCCTCACGGCATTCTTTAAGCTGTGTCAGGAGGACGACTTTGCCAGAACGCTATTATATAACCAGTTGCCGGCATACTATACGTGGAGCAAGAAGTGGGCCCGCATGAAGAAAGGGGACTCTGTCGAGGGATATCCGGGTACACGGAAGGATTGTGCACTTGGCAGAGTATACACGATCCACCCGAGCCAAGAGGAGTGCTTCTTCTTACGCATGCTCCTGCACGAGGGCTGACATCATTCAAAGCGCTCCGTACAGTGGATGGTTACATTTGCGCCACATACCACCAATCGTGCAACATGCGAGGCCTCCTGGAAAATGACGCACACTGGGATGCCACCATGACTGGAGCTGCTGTATCGCAATCACCATATAAGCTGAGGAATCTATTCGCCATCATGCTGCACACGTGGTGTCGCGGACCAAACCCAGGTGTGGCTTAATCACAGGGAAGCTTTGACGTCCGACTTTAGGTACCATGCCCAGCTACAACTCCCTGGTACGAATATCGGGTTCACTGATGACATATTCAATATGTCTCTTATCGCAATTGAGGACAAGCTCATGTCCCTGGGCGGCAAAAACCTACTCAGCTTCAGTCTGCCAAAACCACAGCGTGTCAATACAGCCGACACAATGTCACGTGAAGTTCTGAGGGAAACATCATACAACATCCCTTTCCTGCACGAATATGTTACCATCAACGAGCCTAAACTACTACCTGATCAGAGAGACGCGTACAACACCATCGTGCAAATCATCACTACTCAAAAAGGCGGAATATTCTTCTTAAACGCTCCAGGGGGAACTGGAAAGACCTTCGTCACCAGTCTTCTGCTGGCAAAGATCAGAACACAGAAAAATATTTGCCTTGCTGTCGCATCGTCTGGCATCCCAGCTACACTACTTGCAGGGGGTCGTACAGCACATTCAACATTGAAGCTGCCACTAAACTTGGCACAAAACGACACACCCACCTGTAACCTATCCAAGGGCAGCAATGCGGCGAAGCTCCTCCAACTGGTACACCTAATTATGTGGGATGAGTGCACAATGTCACACAAGGCTGCCTTTGAAGCCGTGGACCGAACCCTGCGTGTCATCCGCGGCAATGGGAAGATCATGGGAGGCATTACGTTCGTAATGTCAGGTGACTTCCGCCAGACCCTCCAGATTCCCAAAGGCACACGTGCTGATGAACTAAAAGCATGCATCAAGTCGTCATATATCTGGAGCAGCGTGCGGCAGCTGGTGCTGTCCACCAACATGCGGCCTCACCTTCTAGGCGAGCCAATGGAACGAGAGTTTGCAGCCCATCTACTTCGGCTTGATGAAGGCACGATACCCGTCTCTCCATTCAGTCAATGTGCTGGATCAGTCGACAACCCGCAGGAGTGTGTATTTCCCAACCTCGTCGACGATTACCCGAGCCACAGTGGTTGTGCGAGAAAGCCATTCTTGCACCAAAGAACGATACGGTAAAGACTGTCAATGCTGAGCTGCTGAAAGCCGTACCTGGTGCCATACAAGTATACAAGTCCATCGACACCATGGTTCAACAAGACGACATTGCAAACTACCCAATTGAGGTTCTCAACTCTAAGGTGCCACCTGGTGTCCCACATCATCGCCTGAAACTAAAGGTCGGAGCCCCATTTCTGCTCCTGCGAAATTTGCACGCATCAAAGCTCTGCAATGGCACCCGGTTGGTCACGAAAAACCTGATGCCTCATGTCATCGAAGCCACCATCATTACAGGATGCGCTGCTGGAGAAGGTCTTTATTCCTCGCATTCCCATCATCTCCACAGACGTGCCATTCCAGTTGAAGCGCCTACAATTTCCCATCAAACTAAGCTTCGCCATGAGCATCAACAAAGCTCAGGGCCAGACGTTGTCTGTCGTCGGTCTGCACCTCGGATAGTCCTGCTTCTCCCACGGACAGCTGTACGTGGGGAGCTCAAGAGTTGGAGACGCCAGGAATCTCTACATATTTGCACCAGAGAATAAGACGAAAAACATTGTTTATCAAGAGGCTTTGAAATGAAAAGTGCAACCCATTCGTACATAACTTTTTGTCATTTACACCATATTACTATTATGTTGCAGGGGTTCTAAGTTGGGTTGTGCTGTGATATAAATGTCATACGTAACAGTTTTTTTTACCATGCATTATCTTATTAGACTGATTTGTAAATATTAATATTGTGTGCAATATTATTGTAGATTTTTACCCAATGTTCCTATTGTGTCTGATTATTAGTAGTATGAATTAGTAGCACGATTTTACCCAGTGCAGCGGGTACTCGCAGCTAGTAATATATATTTTAGATACTTTAGTCAAAACATCAATTTTAGCTGCATTCCTTTTTGAAATTTACTAATTGACCTTTTAAAATTATCGGAATTGGTTGCTTTCAACATAGCCTGAAAATGCATGAAATTCCATTTCCAGGCTCTAAATTTCAAAAACTTTCTGGTGGTGGGCCCCCAGATAAGACACCCCGTATGGGCTTCGCGACTGCGGCGTTCGCCGTGTGTGCCTGCGCACACACCATAACCGCCACTTATGTCATTATTACTGGGTGACCCTACATGTTTCTGCAGTAGCACATTTTGGGAGGCCACTATAGCCTTGCTGTTATGTGTGTCAGCCTTAGTGGACCCGAGCCTTTTCTTTGGAGACTCCAGAAGTGAATTACGTATCAACGTCAGATTTTATAACATAATTATCTTCGTCCATAGACGATACATAGGATTAATACTCGCTGATTGCCCAAAAACGTCATCCATTTCATTTTCAAACTTCCTTTTCCGGTCTTTCACGCGTTTGTATCCACTTGTAATAGTTTTCCAACGCCCTCAAACTTGTTCTGCTGTAAAACTACCAATCTCCTCGGCTATTTTCTTCCACATAGCTGTCTTACGAATTTTTCCACTGTTCATTTTTTCGATGTGTTTACTATATAAGTCAATAAGCTGCAATGTTTTAGCATTTGACCAATATGAGGCAGGACCTTCACCAGGAATACTCTCCGACCCACAACTTTCAACAGCTGCTGACGGATAAATTGTTTCGGATGGTGTTACGGATGGCTCTAAAAGTGTGCCTGAAATTTAAGAAATAACAATTTCTTGATTTTGTTAGTTTTAAGTAACATGTAAAAAGAGTACTGCAACATATCTATTTAACCCATGCTACAGTAAAACTCGCATAAGTCAACACATTTGGGACCAGGATATTTGTGCCGACTTACAAAAATGACGTTGTAATATTATGCGGAACTACTTTGTAGCGTCTTCACTACGCGTATACCCGCGTATGTACACTGCTTACTGAAAGTAGTTCTCTTTGTGCTCAGCCATGATTTTGGCCAAACACGAATAAATGTTGTGTGTTCAATTATGTCTGGACATTCGATACTTTACATGGTGGCAGCGGTAAACACCATCCCAGTGTTGAAATAACACTCTGGTGAACATCTGTATGACATTGACAGTGTGTTGGCCAGCGCCAGGAACGAGAATTTCGAATTTGCCTGTACCGACCTCAGTGCCACGATCAATCGCGGCAGTAACCGACATCGCCATCATCACGTAACATGTGGTATGCCTATATGTGCGCGTCATACACTACTAGAGGACACGTGATACTCGGGTGTACACACATCCGGAGTATACATTACACGCAGCGTTTGAGTCTGCTGGAGTAACAACTGGACATTGTAGTGAGTGGAAAATAGACAGTATCCTGTCATTGACAGTCATACACGTACTTGTACAGTGTGTCGAGACCCAGTGAATGTGTACAGTAGGCCTAATACACGTTCTATCATGGGTGAACTGTCAGATATAACGCCATCTCGTATAGAATAGTCCAGCCCGGATCTTCCAACAGCCTTCCAAGAATTGAAACAGTATTGTTCACTCATCTTCGCGAGGGCTCAGGTCGCCAAGTTCACGAGGTACATCGTGGTAACAGAGATGGGCAGGCAGCCACGAATGTTTGCATGTGTTTACTAGCCGCCCGTTACAGCCACCTGTGTTTACTGGAATAACTGTAATGCAGACATAGAGAACATGATAGTCGTGTAGTATTTGTCAGCATTCCCAGAAGTCACAAAGCCCAAAACCACTACTGCAGTATGAAATACCTACGGGACCATGGCAGACCGTCGGTGCCGACCTGTTCTATCTGGATGGTGAGGAGTATCTTCTCATCTGTGACTATTATTCGAAGTTCCCGATAGTCAAGAAAATTCACGGTCGTGTGACAAGTCAGTCGGTGGTGAACATCACTAAGCAATTGTTCTCGGAACAAGGAATTCCAGAGACTGTAATCAGTGACAATGCCCCACAATATGCGAGCCAGGTGTTCAAACAGTTCACAGAAGAATGGGGTTTCAGTCACGTGACATCGAGTCCCCGCTACGCACAATCAAATGGCTTCATCGAGAGGCAGGTACAGACAGTAAAAGGTGTACTTGCCAAAGCCAAAGCAGCACATACTGATCCGGACATGGCAATGCTGATCATTAGATCCACATCCGTGGATTGCCACTTGCCATCACCATCAGAACTGCTGAACTCTTGCAAGTTCAGAAGTAATCTTCCAGTAAATATTACCAACAAAGCAACTGACAACGATGCAGTTTCACGTCGACTTTTTGAGCGTCAAGCAATTCAAAAATTGTATCACGACGAGAAATCTGTCAAGAGACTATCCCCTCTGTCCCCATGTCAATCGATCAGTGTACAGGACGAGAATACACACAAGTGGAAACAATCAATCGTCGCAAGAACACATGTGGCACCACGTTCGTATGAAGTGCAAACATCTGACGCAGGCTTTCATTTTTAAGGGGCGCGATCGCGCTCGCGCTCCACCGCGCACCCGAAATTGTGCCATGGTGCGCGCATCATCGCGCCTCATAAAAGTGGTTGTGACGGCAACAATCTCAGGAGGAATCCTCGATTCATCCGGAAAACCAGTGAGGAATTGATGACACCCTCGTATATCCTCCATGACACGATAACCAGGAACCAGTTCCACTCCCAGAGATAGATGTGAGGTCCCCAACAAAACACGCCAGATTCAAGGCAAGGATTGAGAGTGAACCAGCACGTGTTCCAAGTACTGGGAGTGCCAATGACTATCCAAATTATCATACCCGTTCAGGCAGAAAGGTCAAAAATCAAAGAAAGCTTGATTTATAAATTGTGTTAACAATATGATCCAGTCAGCCATTTGTGTAGTGGAGAACGCTAATCAAGTGCATACGTGTTGTACAACTTTGATATTCGGTTTAATTAATTTGGTTGAATATTCGGTTCAATTACTGTAACGTTCAGTTTTTGTGACAGTCATGTTGGACTGTAGAAGAAATCGTGACTATTGACATGTAACGTGGACAGTGTCCAAGCAGGACAATAGCCGCATTAACATTAACGTCATGTTGGTTACTACTCGGATAGCATACTTCGAAGGACTTTAAAGTTCAGTTTTTACTCCTGATTGAAGTACAATCTTTCTTTTAAAAGAAAGGGGATGTAATATTATGCAGAACTACTTTGTAGCCTCATCACCACGTGTATACCCGCGTATGTACACTGCTTACTGAAAATAGTTCTCTCTGGGCTCAACCATGATTTCGGCCAAACACAAATAAATGTTGTGTGTTCAATTGTGTCTGGACATTCGATACTTTACAGACGTCATACTCGTAAGTCGTCATTTTGTCGACTTATATCTAGGGCTTCCCTCCCAGCCGCCTGTCACCCCTACGCAGTCATAAACATGATCCGCACATGACATCACTTCGCATCGAAAATTAAGTTAGTAAATCATTTGTCAAGAACCTAAACATAGTCTTGGTAATGCAAACAGTAAAGAAACGTTGGTTTTCAATGTTTTTAGGGAACCATTTAGTGACCAATTCAAAGGAGACTAGTTTTAGCCAATAAGTAGGCCTTACCTGTATGCACAATCACAGCATTATACGTCCGGACATCGACGGTGAACGTTATATTCTGCCCGTCAACATACATGTCAACCTATACGAAATATCCGTAAGTTTTACGGATTTCCACCTATTTAAATTGCTTACGGGCGTACACCTAAAATCATACGGATTATAAACAAGCTTGGCTCAACATTTATTGCATGCTGTTTTCAGTGTTTTGTTTAGAGAACAATAAAATAACGCATGAACACGTGCACACAAGTAAAGAGAACAAAGAACATCAACCGGATGTTTAACTGAAGTCTCGCGGTAATGAGACCTCGTTCGACGTCCGAGCATGCGCATCGAGCTGCATTTGAACCCAACAAATTTTCATTGTTGTAACGGCATATCCCGAGGCGAGTTTCTACCTGAGCGATTGTGAATGAGCGTAAAAGAATGTGACTCCCAAAAAAAGAATGATTATGAAGTACAGCGGGAGGTTTCTCGCTGAATCGAAAGATATGTTTAATGGCCTCAT